CGCCGCACCGGCTCCACCTGCGGCAACCGAGAAGGGTCAGAGAAGCCCGGGAAGGGCCATGGCTCGTCCCCAGGCCCCTGCCCGTGTCCCACAGCCCCTGTGGAGCAGAGGTAATTGCTCCTCATGCCTCTCGTTCCCCGCAGTGTGTCTGCTGCCCCACTCCCCTCACCACAGCCATCACACTCCTGCGGCGGGTCCCCACTCCCCTCACCACAGCCATCACACTCCTGCGGTGGGTCTGGTACCGGGGTGTGCTCAGGGGTCACCCAGCTGCAAATTCATCTGGGTGGGACATCATTCCTCCCACAGCACAGCTGGGAACGCAGCTGGGGCAGGGACAGACCAGAGGAGGGAAGCTTGTGTGCTGGGAAGAGAGAGTCTGGCCACTGTGTTTTTAAGGGCTGACCCGAACAAGACAAGAAGTGTCCTGATGCAGGGAGCGTGGCCAGGAGCCCAGCACTGCAGCACACCAGGGCACAGGAGAAGGCTGCTCCCCACCCCTTCCTGTGCCACTGGCTTTTCACTCGGGGCTGCTGTCCCCACCGCTGCAGGGACCAGGTGCTGGCTGCGATGCTGCTCCACCCCACGAGGGGACCCCTCGGGCAGCACAGCCATGTTATTCAGCAGAGGAGAGACCCCCAGTTCCATAACCAGAAGGGACCTCTGGACTAGATGATCTCTAGCGGTCCCTTCCAACCCCTAATGTTCTATGATTCCACAAATGGCTCTTTTGCCTTTGCAAAGGCAGCAGCACACAAGACAGCACAACACAGCTGGCCAGGTCCCAGCGCCAGGCACGTTGCCCTCCTTCACCTCCTGCACCCCGCTCCAGGAGGGCTCTGCAGGGGCTCGTCTGCTCGCCTGACTCCAGAGGATTCAGATTTACCGGCTACCGTTTGCTAAGGAAACAGCGACAGAGCCCTGTGACACTCAGTGGCCTGAACTGTGGTTTCCTTCCCTTATTTCCTGGCAGGTGCTGGTAACACTTGGTGTGTGCTGGGGAAGGCAGGCTCACCGGGAGAACCCACTCCCACGGTGACGGGAGGGAAGAGGCAGGCGATTGGGATCCTGCACTCCCTCCGTGCAGTGTTACAGCACTGGGATTTTGAGCAGCTACACGCCTGCCTAAAAACAGAAATCTTGTATTCTTGCCGATTTTGATCTTCACATTAGCCAGTTTTGTCTCTCCAGTTTCTCCTTTCCAAGGGAGCTCATTTTAAGATTTGCTCTATACGCTTTCATTGCTGCTTGTCAGGAACAAATTTGTTGGCCCATACTGTACCTGTAAGCAGAACCCCAGATCCATATGCCCCAATCAACGCTCAATCCACTACAATTTAAATAAAACTCATTTCGAAATACATAATGCCAAAAAGGTCCTCTGCCACTCTTAATCTCAGCCAAACCTCAGAGCACATGTGCCTGGAGATAGTGCTCACGTTCCCGTCGCAGCTCTGCTCCATTAAATGCTATTCCTGATAAGAATCCTTCAGGCGACCAAACAAATCTTTCTTGCTTTTACCAACCCCAGGAACTCTGGGACATTCTGATGCTGCTGTTTTTCCCACTAACCCAATGAAATGTGGATCCTGCCACGAGCGAGATGCCCTCAGTGTCAGGCGACTCAAGAGCACAGAAAGTCAGTGGGCAATTTGGTGCTGGTTTCGACCCTGTCTCGTGCCAGGGACGAAGTGTGGTTCTTGCTTCGGCCTCAGCCGGGCACAGCGCAGACAGGCTCAGCCCTCCATGCCACCTGCTGCGCTGCGCCGCGCCACGCTCCCTCCGTGCCGCACCTTGCCATGCGCCCGTCACACCACGCCGCACTCGGGTCTTACCTTCCTGATCTCGGGAGCCGGACAGAGGTGGGGGCTCGGTGAGGGCTCGGTGCGCAGCCTACAGCTGGAGCTGCTCTCGCTCCAGAGACAGCGGTGCCCCAGGTCCTCCCTCCCCAGGCACTGCGAGCAGTCGCCGCTCCCGGTCGCGCAGTTGTACACCTCCACTAAACCATCAGAGAGAGCAGAGAGGTGAGCTCCAGGGCCTCGGGCTTTCACAGCCTGGCACAGCCTGAGGCAGCCAGGCACAGCCCGCTCCCCCAGCCCCGGCACATCCGAAATGGGCAGAGCAGCTTGCATATACAGCAAGATGAGGCAGCACTTGGCTGCCATCCTGAAGATTTCCCAGAAGGACTGGGTGCTTATTTTCACCGCAATATAATTTAGCACTTTCTTTTCCTTTTTCTTCCCCTTGAAAAACAAACAACACCCAAACTCAGAACCTTTTGTCAATTTTATACTACATGTTTCCAACTCTCAGCATCCACACGGGAAGCTGCTTGACGAAGCTGGCTCCATTCTGTTCGCAAAGCAATCACGTTGCTTCCACACTGACAAAAATCGGATGGATACAGAGCTTTGCAGATTGTTTACAGTTCCCTTCCTTCCCCCTGGGGACCACGGGCCCCCTTCTTTGGCTTTGCCCCTCAGATCTGCTCAGCTCAGCTTCCACATCTTTTTCCTACAGCGCTTTCACCTCTCATTAGCTGGTGCCCCAGGTTACATTTCCTCTCCAGCCTAAAGACTTCTGCCACCGAAGTGTGGGTATCCGCTGAGATAAACAGCCAGAAACACTCAGGAAACGTTGCTTTCACACCCGTTTCCCCAGAGGAGACTTTGCAGGAGAACATAAAACAAAGAAACCGCCACATTTTGCACTTCTGTTCACAGGAGGATCTCAAGGCGCTTCATAAGCAACTAACGAATTCCTCAGCCTTCAACGGCCTGCCTGTGCTCATGCTAATGAAATGTCACCGGCACCAAGGGAGACTCCTGCTCTTCATAAAAAAAAAAAAAGCAGCTTATTTCACCTTGTCTTGAGTCCACCCAGTGAGTTACACTGGTCGTTTTTTCCATCCAACAGCAAAGAGCTGGGATTCCTTCAGTGGACTACCAAAGTGCAGTTTACAATAAAAGCTAATAAACATTGAAATATTAAACACTAATAACAGCAATTCCATTAAAGACAGTACAAAAGACACACACATTTATAATTGGCCTGGCAGATCTCCGTCCCTGCTTGCAACCCAGCCTCTCCAATCTGACTCGCGCCATCCTGGTCAGCGAGGAGGAGCCAGAGTCGTCTGACAGTCCCATGGGATCTCAAAACATTCTGGCAAATACAGAGCGATGCAAACACAGCCTGTGTGAGCGAGCTCTTTCTCCGGGCAGGAGGAGGGGGAGTTCCACCACGCTCTCCCCGCTGTTGTCCTGCTCCCAGCACCAGCCGTGCTGGGAACCAAGAGCTTTCTCTTGCACATCCGAAGAGCCCGAGCCCAGAGCTCCCGCCCCTCTCCTCGGGGCTACCTCTGTATCTCACCCTCTTCTTTCTGCAAGGAAGACTTGTCTCATGCCTACCCACGCTGGTATTTCAAAGGTTATTTCACCATCGTGGAATGCTTTGCAAGATAAGCCTCCTCTACACATTGGGATTTACAAGGGGGAAACCTTTTTATCCTGGGTTAGCGGCTGATGGTGTTAATGTCTCTCAACCTATTACAGCTATCCTTCAAAGAAAATCCCACTGCAGGCATCCAGCTCTCATTTGCATCCAGGGTAGATCAGCCCCTGCTACAGTGGCTGGCAGCACTGAAGGGGAAGAGCCCGGTGCTGATGTAGCAAAGGGCTTTTTTTGGCAATCCAAGTGTTCTTTGAGACGGAGTGGGCCAGGGGTGAAATGTGTTTACACATTTCATTCTTTCTCAGCACACAGGGTTAAAAAAAATAATCCACAGCAAAACCCAATTCTTACATTGTGCTCAACCTGGAAGCCACGTTCCTGTGAGAGCTCAGGGCAGGGCCCCTACCTGTCCTTTATGTCCTCCGGGAGGAATCCTCCCAGCTCCGGGGCTGCCTCACACCCCCGCTGTGACCCACAGCGCTGGCACAGCCCGTCCCACGCGCCACGGGCAGACACGACCGCGGCCGCAGCCTGCACGCGAGGACAGGGCCTGACCTTCCCTGGTGCAAGGGGGAGGCAAAGTGTCCGCCTGGCTTCTGGGCACACGTCCACGTGCTGCGGCCCTGGGGAAATACACGGTGTGTGTGCGCGGTGCCTGCCTGAGCCACACTCTCTCCTGAACCCATAAACTTTGCCAGGACTTTAGCATCATTCAAGCTGACCAGATGAGAGTAGAATAAAAATATTTTCAACTCAGACCTGTCATCATCTCCGGACTGTCGATAAATCTGTCTGGTCTGTCCTTCAGCTGAAGGTTCACTGGGAAGAGATGGCTTTTTTCTGACGTGTGAAGCTGTGCACAAAAAGCAAACAGACAAAAGCTTAGGGAATTGAGTAAAATACGAGGTTCTGTACGCACACTACACGGATTAACATTCCTTGCGAGGCTTCTCTGACCACTGCTGCTCAGTACAGGAGGGTCTCGTCTTTCGCAAAGGGAAGGAGGGGGAAGGCTGTTTTCTGGTTTAATTGGTTTGCTGAGGTCCCTACAAGGGTGCTGGGGCATGGCGCACATGGCAGCACGAGCACAGCCCTGGCCTGCTGCTATTTTCAGTAGAAAAGGACAGAAAAACTAACGGACTGGGAAGCCCATGTGTTTTCAGCGCAGGGCTACAACACAGAGCTTTGCAGGTGACATGATGGGAAAGTGCTCCTCTCCAGCTCCTCCTCACAATATTCCCACCGTTTGCTGCGTTTCGGAGGCACAGCCTGCCCTGCGGCACGCCTCTCCTCCACGAGAGGCTGAGGGTTTTTTCAGGCCGATTCCTAGTTCGGAATAAAAGCTACAGAAATAGCAACGCTGAAAGGTGGCCAATTCTCGAGGCTGAACTGAACTCCTCCCGTTTAGAAAGGTGAGCAAGCAGCTCCTTCC